GATGCCTCCCGGCAAAGCAAGGACCGGGTGACCCAGTAGCTCCGGCAGGGGCTGGACGAGGTGGAACAACGGGCAGCTGGGGCGGTTCTGTAGCTACGAAAGTGGCGACATGACGCGGGTCACAGCACCGCGCGTCGGAGCAAATGCAGCTGTACATTTCCAGCAACATCGTCGGGGTGACGTCCGACATGACGCAGCAGAGTGTCGGTGTCGTAGGTTCCATCAGTTCGGAATAATGGCATCGCCTCAACTTTGATACGAACTGGAGGCTCCAGTCAGTGAAAGCCAGTCTCCAGAGTCACTCCGCTAAATTCCAGGCGCCCGTCATCGGACCGTTCCGGTGCCTCCGAGTACACCAGCTGGCGGCCGTGAGTGCAAGACTTGCGTAGCAGCTTTTCCGTGTCACACGTAGTACAGATTGCGACGGCCGGTCCGATGGAACATGTTTCACACCAACTGTGTGTCCAACGCCCGCGCTGATCGCACGGTGCCGCGCCTAAACGGCGCCCTCCTTTTCGTAACATATATACATGGCAACAGCATACGCCTCGCGGGCTCCCGGTACAGATACTCGTTGACCCCACGTCAATTCCAGAGCCACCACTCGAGGGTGAGTGCGTAAAAAGTCAGCAGCCGCGTTTTTCCACCTGGCCAGTCATACACTGCGAGCGCCATGGCTGTACGGTAAAGATGGACGTTCACAAAGTGCTGCGCCTGCCACGAAATCTGCACCTCGAGGTTCACAAAGCGCTGCGCCTACCACGAAATCTTGCCATGGAGGTTCACAAAGTGCTGCGCCTGCCACGAAATCTGCACATGGAGTCATCTCACCAGTGGTGTATGATGAGTGGTGTATGATGAGTGGTGTGTGATGAGTGGTGTATGATGAGTGGTGTATGATGAGTGGTGTACGATGAGCGGTGTATGATGAGTGGTGTATGATATGTGGTGTATCATGAGTGGTGTATGATGAGTGGTGTATGATGAGTGGTGTATGATGAG